TTCTTCTTATTCTGTCCATTTTCCTTTCTTTTTTAGTCTCTGTTCAGTAGGAGTGCTATCACCAGTTCTTCTTGTCCTTGGTTTAATTCTTTTATTGGCTTTACCTTTGTACCACCTTTGTTCAACCTCTATCTTCTATAACCAGTCCGTTCCAGATTCCCTACTCTCTATCCAGTTCTCGTCTTCCTCTATGCTAGTATTTTCCTTTTTCAGTCTTTTTATTCACTCTCTAGTTTCAGTTTAATCTCTTCTTCCTATTGACACATCTTTTCCCACTCTCACTCCTCTCTGTTCTGTTTCTTTTTCTTTATCTAGTTGCTCTGCTTGCAGGCCACTCTTTTACTCTCTTTCTAATCTCTGTTTATCTGTTTAATCAGTATTTGTTTTATAAAAACAGAGGAACAGTAGACAAAAATGAGCAGCTAAGTTTAATAATATAGAAGTCCAGCTTATATCTTGAGGATTGTTGAAACCAAAATCCCAGAAATGTAATCTTATAAAAATTCTGAAATAGATTTTTTAATAAAACTTATCTTCAGTCTGAGGTTGCAACCTGAGAAGGAATATATCTAATGATGCTGTAGGGATAAACTTCTGAGGATAATAGGTTACTAAAACCAGCCTTCATCACAAACATATATGTATCGGGAACATTGAAGCAGTTTCTAGAACATCAGCAATGGTCCAGAGACGCGCAAGTGGATCACAACTATTCAGAATTCGTAGTAGACGTCATTCAAGATTCCCAACATTAAAGTTCCAGGACAACACAACAAGAGATAGTACGAACAAGATATTCGTATTCATTTTAAAGTAAAATTGTACCTAGAATTTAAAATACCTTGTGTGTTTTAAACTACATTGCTATAAAGCGTGTTAAGTCGAATCGTTATATTTTAATATATATTATAGTATCACATAATTTAAATATTCTCTATTTTAAGTAACGGATAAAAATAACTAACAGTTATTCTTATTAAGACTTCATTGATATATTAGTCCTGGTTTCTATCAGTCTCTAATTTCCTAAAAATATATCGGTAACAAGCTGTAACACATTTCGCCAGCAGGCGTTCGTCATTTGTAACCCGGTGAGTGGATGCACCCCGAACGTGACGAACGTATATAATAACGCGTTTTGTGTCGGTTAACAAACTGTTAAAATTCTGCCAAACTACCCATATGACACCAGGAGATAGAGAGCAGCTGTAAAGCGGTTCTGTACAAATGAAATAGGGAAAATCAAGACGATTCGGCTATCAACGTTGAGTTGGACCACTGTACCCGAGATATAGTTAATTAACGGACGTCTAATTGGCAGTTTCCTGCCAAGTGTCTCTTGACGTCCTACAATTAGGTCCTATTGGACTACCTCCTACACACCCCCAAATAAACTAATCAATAATAATTTCTTATCTTTTAAAAACATTTCCTTCACTTAATAAAAGTATTGATAATAACAAATAAAATAAATAATGAGTATTGCACCATAAATTTTGGATGAAAATAAACATTTTAATCAAAGTTATAAAATTAGAATATTTTATTTTTTTGGTTGATATAAAATTGCTAATTAGAAGTAAACAAAATACGCGTAAGTACCATCATTTAAGTGATTAATGGTTTTTCTATTTATACTTTTTTCTAAACGAATACCTAATGATGATGAATTGTTATGATATTATGATGAGTTGTTTAATTTGCCGTCATCAATCTCGTACATACATTTTGACCTCAAAATAACCTACTATTACGTTTCATATTTGTAGTATTTATCGTTTTATTTATTTACTGTTTATTTTTCGTGGTGAAAATAAGGTTTTTTACAAAATTAATGAGCTTTTTTTTTGTAAACAATAGACAATGAAGATTGTTTATTAGCAAACTATAAAGTGAAAGAGGGCAGCTGCAGAAAAAAGAAATGAAGTGGCACGTGCCCTAGTTGTGAACTGCACGCGACCGCGGTTCACACGGGGTTCCCTAACACCTTTTCTAAGTTTTGATGGTTTCATTATTAATGCCTAAAAAGATTATTTAAAGATTTAGGAGGGATGAGTAGAGCAACAATAAATGCATTTTACTTAATGAAACTAATGTTACTTCATTAGATAGCTATAAGCTTTAAGTTGTGTAGTAAATGCTGAGAATGATTCGAAGTGATTCGAGAATGATTGAAGTTCAAATTTATTTTGATTTTTTGAAGATGAGTGAAAATAATTGTTTATTGCGAAAAATGAGGAAATCCCTTATTAGGTTAATATCTTGAAAACTAAAAGAACACTTCATTCTGCGTACCTCCATTATCAACTGAATCCCAATGATAAAGTCCAACCAAGCTACCGTCCTATTTCAGTGCTTCCAGTAATAGGAAAGTTCTTTGAATCACACCTCAATAACGGCTGCTGGTTGCCATCTCAAAGACGATCCCTTCCTTTGTCGATTCTAGTTTTGAACATCCACGTGGCCCCCTACGAAAAACGGCCATCTGCTGTGGTGTTCTTGGATGTCTTGGCCTCCTTCTTCATTTCTTTCTCTTCCCCAGCGTGCCCCTATCACGGCGTCATGGCTATCTCCTCAGCAAGATTCTTGAGTTGCTACATAGTCTTATCTCGGCTGGCCGCAATCTGCTTCACTGTTTCATCTCATGTTGTTTTCTGTCTCCTTAAGGGTCGCCTTCCTTTCGCTCTGGCCTCTATGTACATACGGGTTTCTTCACCTGTCCAGCACATCAATCTGTCCTCAATCATCCCCTCGACCGGCTGCACATTGAGTTATTGTCGAATACGGTTGTTACGTACTGTGTCCCATGGTGTCTTTCCTGCAATTATCCGAAGGCATTTAATTTGAACCGCATTAACCCTACTGATGTCCCTGCCATCTGCGGTCAAGCTTTCACTGCCATAGGTAATAAGGTTGAATAGCTGCTGACGTGGATGAGAAGTTGACCATCACATTTGATGTGGATGTTATCCACCTGTTCCTTTCTCCCCGTCACTACCATAAGTTGACTCTTCACCTTGTTTAACATCATGTTTCTGCCCTTATAGTTTCTGATCACTCGAGTACACCCTGTTGCAATTTCCTCTCCGAGTCTGCGATGAGGACTACATCATCAGAGCCTGGTACATAATCGGTCTGAGGTTGAGCATGCCAACCACATAAGTTTCTATTCTTTTCTTACATGTCTTCACCACTTCTTCCATAAAAGCTACAAATAATGAGGATATACAATAACCTCTTCTCCCTACAATAGGACCTACCACAAGGATCTCCAATTTCATCTTCTTTATACAATATCTTCTGCCATGGTATATACAACGATAATCTTGGTCACAATCGATGTCACAACCTTGGTCTCGCATAATCCGCACATCTATACTTCAGTTCGGAAACTCCAGTCGCATATTGGTGACGTGAATTCTGGTTTCAAAAATGTCGTATACAAATCAACCCATTAAAAACTCAGTTTTTCCTTTCCTCTTTATTCATGCTTCTTCTGCAAAAATAACATCCACCATTTCTCCCACATCAACCTACAAGTATCTTGTAAAATACTTAAATTTTCTGCTCATGTCATTAAAGTAAACATGAAAGTTCCCTAACATTTAGAGGTCACGGATTATCAACTAAATGCAGTTCTTACATTTATAACCACCGAATACACATTGATTATCCTACATTAAGCACCTAAAAGATGCAGGAATAGCGGCGCAAAGAATGACGACGATGTCGAACACGTGTATTCGACATCCTCATAATCCACTCTTTAATCCTTGTAACCAACTCCATTATAGTGTTACTAAAATTTATTAAAACATTCATTTATCACTCATGAACACTCTCATAGTAAGGATTTAACAGCCTATCAGAGAATAGTTTGATAGTATCAATAGCCTCGGGCAGAAAGACCAAGGTCACTTTTTGGACATATTACTACGCTATTATATTACTACTATAAAGCTATTAAAGCTTATAATTTTTATAAGAAATCGTGAGAAATTTATAATGATTTAACATCTGATGAAGTTGTCTTCAGATAAATCTTGGCACTAAACATTTTTATATATCTGGATGGAGTGGGTTATCAGGAAAAACGGTTATTACTCACATTAATCACATTTTTAAATCGCTGAAAAACATTTTTATAAAAAGAAAGTTTCTGAGTGTTTTAATACAGTAAGTAATAACATTTTCCCGGAAACTCAATATAAGTCAGTTAAACTTTATCGATGAACAATAAATAATCGATGCATTCCACTAAGTTGACACAATGGAATGCTTCGAATACCAATCCTATATTGATAAGAAACACGTTTTACGACAGATAATATTTCGGAATGTAGACACTATTAAAAATCTAGATTCAAAGCGATAAGACGACAATAGTTAAATGAGTTATTAAGTCGGTTATGCCCCTTTACATTTAAATTAATAAAGGTTGATTTATTAACGGGTGAAAATTCGCATTTGCAGATCATTATCATAGTTTTATAATAAATGCCTTCAAGTGCTTACTCTGCTTACCGTAGCATACCACTCAGCGTATTATGATATTAAACTATAAACTGTTTAGATCGAGACCAAGATACGTTAAATAAACATTAATTAAACCTACATTGTGACGACTTTGTAAATCGTTTTCGATAAGTTATATAGTAGCAGAGTTTGCTGAATTATATTGTGGTGAGGCATTTACAAAGAATGCGCAATACGATTAGATCGCTAAAAATAAGTTTTGGGGAATATTAAAATGTAGATAATAATCGATGGTTTCTGAATCATATTGTTACACCACAGTACACAATAATTATATATAATTCAATTATAAAACTTGCTTCTAAATTAAGTTAGCAACCTATTTTTTGGCCTGATGTCACGCGTACAACGATACACTTTCTAGATATTTCTCGGTTGGTCACAACTATAAAACGTGACAATTATGATAATGCATAGATCAAACACACTAATATGAAGAGAGTGTTTGCCGAATCAATTAGGTGTCGTGAAACCGCGAATCCGCACAGATTCATAAACGAGGAGCGATAAGCGAGCTCATTTGACGCACTACAACGCTGCCGTTGCGGGCCGATATTCAAAAAAATGCGGACGATATACTAACGTAGAGACCATAATACGCTGCCTGATTACAACAAACTTATTATACACACTCGCGTTCAGTCCTAGTGTTTGTTCGAAACGCGTCAAATGTGGTCGATTAACCGGACCACCATTATTACTATTTATTGTGCTACTACAAATTCAAATTAAGTTTGTGTAAAAGTTTTTGGTGATTGTGAAGAGATGAAGAGGAGTTAACACCGAACAAAGTTAACGCTTCGGGAGCGATAGATGTCTACAACTTATAAAATAAGAATTATTAAAGAAGTAAAATGGTTAAAGTGTCGGTGATTGCTTATTTTTACACGTGTGCTCTATTTATAGACACCCTGTAAGTTGTAATAATTATGTAATTATTAATTTTTATTGAACTAATAATGAGACGTATTAAATTTACATAAAAAGTCATCTTTACAGCTTTAAAATTCTATTTTTGACTGGATATTATCGCGGGCAATGATAACGAATTTTTAATAACTACCGCTCACTCTGCTACTTTTAACTTTTAAACTTATAACTTATAACTTTCCTTATTATCACTAAATAACAATTTATCATTAACACATGTTTCGCCCAATAAACAATCTAAATCAATATAATAACCTTACAAAGACGCCAAGTACATAATATGTTTTTGGATCTAATGAGTTGATACACTATAACCTCTCGTTCTATTTATGGACTATAAATGACAATTTTAAGTTTTAACAGTTTTGACAGTTTTACGTCGTGTAAACAACTTCCTACAATTGAAACCGTTTCGCCTCCGTAAAAGAGAAATCTCGGCCAATAGAACCTATTTGAAACGAGCAAACACGTTTTAATTTGTCCGGACACGTTTCGAACCGTGTGTGTCCGAGATTTTGTCGAGATAAGAATTGTTCGAATCGACCTTGACACATAGAAACCTCACCAACAATTATTTCTCACTAATTATAATTAGTTTTTAATGAGACGATTAAATTTAATGATGCAGTAAAGTTCAGTGACGTTCCAATATGCGTCAAAACATCGATTTTACACTTCTTGTACACTTCTTTACAATCAGATAGACAAAGATTCTTACTTTATAATTAAACAAAGGACTTACACGACCATTATCGATATTATCTCTAATACGTCACTAACGTTAGCTTTATTGTTGTTTGATTTTTAATTAGTACTTCCGAGAAGATTACAAGACTAATGATATTTTAATTTTCTAGTTCAAATTCTATAATTAGCTCGGTTTTAACACAGAGTTCATGTAAATTTATACAATTTGATATGTTAATCGCTCTTTGACTCTTAATCCTCGATAACTTTTTTTATGTTGCATGCCTAAAATGTTTCTTTTTCTAAATTATTAATATATTTTTTTAATTTTTAGTGTGTATGGAAAACCGCATGGGGATGTTATTTCAACATCTTTGCAAATACTTTTTGATATACCGGAAAATAAAAATAATTCGATTAAAATAAATTATTCATACAACGAAATTAATCGATTGAGAGACTATGTGTTCTTCAACAAAAATTATGCTCAAGCCGAAACCATCGAGTTATTTAAAAACAAGATAAGCGATATCAGCACGTTCGCCTTCTGGGGTCTAGAACAACTCAAGGTAGTGGACTTGTCCGATAACCTAATAACAAACTTGGATGACCAGACGTTTACCACCAACCGAAATCTTCACAAACTCGTCCTTATAAACAACAGGATAACGTTTAAGAGTCATCATAAATTTTTAATTTCCGAATCCATCGAAACTCTCGTACTCTCCAACAACAGGATAAATAAAATTTATGATTCCACGTTTGAAGCTTTACCCAAATTGAGGAGGCTACTTTTAACTGATAACGCTTTGACCGAAATCGAAAATCGTTCGTTTCAAAGTTTAACGAATCTTCGATATCTTTCATTAGCAAATACAGGTGTTATACATTTAAGTGACTCGATGTTTAACACTCTACCCCACATTATTAACTTAGATGATACACCGATTGCGCAGAATTTCGACCCACCTTTAAGGCAAGTTAGGGGACACGCCATAAAACATCTTTTACAACTTGAAAGCGGCTCAAGGGAATATATTTTACACGGACATCATAACAACATAAACAAAACTGATCCAACAACCACCGAGATTAATTTATAAACTCCCATTGTAAATTGTTTTTAGTGTTGTTAAAAGAAAAAGACTTTATTGACGATTTAATTTAATCAAGACGGATTTTAATTGAAGACTTAATTATATTAGTTTAAAATTGTGATAAGTGGTGGAAGATTTGCGACAAAATGTTTTCATATTTAAGTTGTTTTCGATCAAAACGATGAAGACTGTTTTATAGGCAAAAAACTATTATCGCTAACAATTTCTTTTTTGTTTTGACTGTTGATTATGTGTGCATTTCACAACTTTCATTCTAAACGCAGTTTAAAATTTTGTATATTCGCCAAACATTTTCATATAAACAACAAAGTTGTATAACAAAAAATAGATTTAAATAGTTTCTCCAGTATTATATCATTACCCCAAACTATTTATTTCTACAAAAAAAAAATTAAAAATCTGGTTACAAAATTAATTTGCTGTACTTAAAACATTTTACAAAATACAAAATTAATTAACAAAAAACAATAACCCATATTGAAATTAAAACAAATAATTTATTCTAATTTATTTTCAATTTGAGCCAATTTAACCCGATTTAATTAATGAGATTAATCAACAAATAAATCATTTAGTGAGGTTAACTATGTGATAGTATTACTATAATAATTATTGATATTTTCATAAAATTTTTACTACTTAAGGTGCTGTTTGAATAATTAATATTTTAAGGAAAGTGTTACAGTCGTAATTTTTTTTTGTTAAAATTCCACCTACGTATAGGATCTAAAAATAAATTGTGCGTATAAATAGCGTCATTAACAAACGAACACAGTCCAATTTTGCATGCGCACTACCGACATCCTTTTGTATTGCCCCTAGGGAATATTAAATAAACGAATCTAATCCTTCCTGTTTGCACGGGCCTCGCGTGTATGCTAAGTGCGTCTTCTCTACGTTGACGTTGCATAACTGCTAAAAATAAACATTCGAACGTGTAACATGTGCGAAGAATAATCGCCTTTTGCTCACTCAGGTGCTCAAAAACTTTTTTTACAAACAGACGGTTTCAATATTTTCATACATTTTCATTATTATTGTGCGTTATAGTAATAATATGTACCTGATGTATCTGTATATGTGTATACTTTGTAAACGTGAGTAGAATAAACAATATAGGGATTTTAAATTAGTTTGATTTGAATCCAACCCAAAATATGTAAATTAGATATGTTATTTATATTATAATGTTAAAAAAAATCACTCTAGCATAAAGAATATAGTAAATTGTAATAAAAACAATATTATCTAAAAATTTTTGTGTTTCATTAAGTTGTCACAGTTTAAATACTTCTTTTCAAAATTCTCAATCTTACAGTAATGATCTCGAACTGATTGTCTTTGATGACCACTGAACTGATTAATTTGCTTAATTGTGGTGGTCCATTTTTTTTATGGACAGAAAATCAAGCTAATCTGATGTTTAGAAATTGGATATCATATTTAACCCCTGTAGATATGTCTGGAGTAAAAGTCATGTATCTTTGTGTTGATGAGTGTTGAGGACAAAATAAGAAATCGCACGTTCTACACACTTTGATGTTCTGGCTCAAATATCACTCTTCACCAAATGTTCAAAAAGTTATTTTGACCTTTCTTGCTAGAGGACGCAGTTATTTACCAACAGGTAGGGTATTCGGGAGAGTTGGAAAAGATTTGTGAAAAATCACACACCTTAAAATTTATAAGTACAAAACTAAACGAACTTATAGCATATCTACTGTGGAGAGAAGACAATGAGTGTTTACAACACTGATGAACTGTTGGAAGAAAGCAAGTGGTTGCTCAAAAATAAAACTGTTACATCCATCATAACTTTTTAGAGTTCCAACAGTTAATGTCTTAAATCCGAAAAAGAAGGATGATGTAAAAACAGTTTTAGAAAACAATTCGGAGATAATTGGGCGGAAAATCCAGAACTTCATTGATACCAAAGTATTATGTATAGTGATACTCAGGATGAGTTTGCATATATCCTCTTACAATAGATGCTTTCACTTTCAACTTTACCAAAAAGTAATTTTTTTCTCAGTTATCCAAAATAAAGCATTCGCGATTTTTTTTAAATTTGACAATTTTTTGTTATAACTTAAATTGATGCAAAGCTAAGAGTGTTTGTTTCTAAATCCTTTCGACAATATTTTTTAAATATTTAATAGTTGCTATTAATTTAACCTAAAAGTCATTTTTTAGTTGTCCACAAGAAGGCTTATTTGTTGTTACCCAAAATAACACTTTTAATAACATTTTTATCCTTTTCATTTAATTTTATTCATAAAGCAATCTGGATCAGAACTAAATCAAACATTAGTAAAGGTAAAGTAACGTTTACTTTGTAGCTGTTTTGAGTATGGGTGATCTCGGCTGGACTTCAGTGGTTGTTTAGGTTCAGTCTGATTTTGGTTTGAATGTGCTGATTTGGGTGTAAATATATAGGGTTGGAATAAGTTGAGTTCAAGCTAATTTGTATGTGGATGGGTTGGGTTATATGGTTTGGGTTGAGTCTAGTTTTCTTGTGGATGGATTGGGTTCAGGCTGATTTGGGTATGGATGAGTTGGGTTAAATTGCGCGGTTTACGTTGAGTCTGGTTTCGGTATGATTGGGTTGGGTTAAGACTCATTCGGGTGTAGACAGGTTGCGTTAACTTTAGTTTTAATGTAGATGTTTAGGAGAGATGTAGTAATTTGGCCATAGATGAGTTTTGGTGTGAATGGGTTGGGTTCAGGCCTATTTGGGTCTTGATAGGTTGGGTTACGTGGTTTTGGTGTGGATGTGCTGATTTGAGTGTGAATGAATTGGGTTGGGTTACGCGGTTTGAGTTGAGTTTGTTTTCTATTTGGATGAGTTAGGTTACGTGGTTTGGATTGAAACTAATGTGTGTGTTGATTGGTTGGATTACGCGGATTGGGTTAGCATCGGTTTCGTTATGAATAAGTTAGATTACGTGGTTTGGATTGAGGCTGATGTGAATGTGAATAGGTTAGACCATGTGGTTTGGGTTGAGTTTGGCTTTGATATGGATGTACTAATTTATGTAGATGAATTGGGTGGGATTACGCAGTTTGAGTTGAGTTTGGTTCGAGTGTGCATGAGTTACGTTACGTGATTTTGTTCAAACCTAATTGGGTATGGATAAGTTAAAGTAGTGATTTAAAGCTTCATTACAAGCTAAAAGTCATTTCTTAGTTTTCTAAAATAAAACTTGAACAATTTTTTTAATATGTCAGAATTACATATTCCACTTTGAAATTAACTAACTAATTCTATTTTTTATATGTTTCATAACAATAGTTGTGAATGTATCCGAGTAAATATCTTTTTTCTATATTGGTAAATGAGGTAACTTGTGCCGACCTTTGATAATTGTTCCATAAACTATCTCTAAATATTGTAATCGCGACCGGTTGTTTTAAAAGCTCTTTCCATTATCTCTAAAAATTCCTTTGTAATTACATGTAAATTCCCGTAAGAAATAGGACTTCAGTTTAACATAGGTTTTGATTTGATTTATTAAAGAAACTATAAGTTTTTAAAAAAAAGCTGTTGGTGTAAAACGGCTTTAAATTGAAGTTAAGTCGAAAATTACTGTTTCTGTGTGAGCTCTCTGTATAAAGGTTGCTGAGAATTACTGGCTTCAACGGCTGTGAAATTACAATGGGGAAAGCGTTTCGAAGCGATATAGTTATTGCATAACTCGCGAACGGGTCATCAAACACCTGTCAGCTGTTAGCGACTATGTGTATTGCCAATGTCGTTAGTGGTTTGGATTTTTATTATTATTGAAAATTGATTATCATATAAAATGACTCAAGGAAAATTACAAAAATAAAATAAAACAGTAGTTCACCGTACTACTGTTTAGCAGTAGTATGTTGTAATTATACAACATATTGTTTTCGAATCGACTTATCAATATTGAATTTTATATAAATATTATATAAATAATAAATATTTATATTATTATAACCTAAAATGTATCTATTTTTATTTCAATTTGTTTATAATATTTCTTATGTTTTTATAGGATCGTTTCAAATATGACGATGTAAATAAATGAATTATAATTAGACCAAAAGATTTTGATTCATTTAATTTATCAACAAAATCTTTCGGCATCGCTTTTCTCAAATTTACGTAAAAAAGTTGGTGATAATTCAAGGTTTCAACAAATAACGTTATCACGAGCGTTGAAAAATCTGGTAATAGAAGAAAGAAAGTAGACAATTTTGTTTTAAATCGAAATAAAAAAAATGAATCAAATTTATCTGCATCTATTTTTGCTCTGCATCCAAATGACAAAACGTGGCAACTATTTCTAGCTATGGATTTGGAATCGAGACATGGATTGTTGATGGAATAAAACATAAGAACTTTAAGGTTTTATGCCTGACATGTGCAAAACCACTGCGACTATCTCTTAAAATTTGCTATTAACCATGGAGACGGCTGATTGAGACTTCCGGAACAGCTGACAAATACAAATCAAGAAATTCGACTCCGTAAAAGTAAAGCAATGAACATAAAAGAAGAAAGATGTTTGATTAGTGGAACCTGTAGTTATCAAAAGATCTACCATTCTATTAACAAAAATGAAACGATAATACTAACCAAGATAGTAAATTCCGTGGTCATTGCAACATGGGTGCCAAAACAATAAATTATATTTGAACCAGAATCTGCTTTTGGCCAGGTGTCAACGATTAAATCTGAAGACACATGATCCACATAGTTAGGGACACATTACTGGACCCAACACTTACAGAAGAATGAAATAGAATCTCTCGGATTGAATAATTGTGAAGAGTCTGTTAAGAGATGTCCTCCACGAAAACAACGCTTGAAGAAGCAATAAAAAAACAGTGGAAAGCAATATTATGACTACTGACGATAACATATTTCTTCACAACACCTCTCGCATAGGAAAATCCAGGACTTGTCAGGTTATTGCTCTGTATTTTCAAGAAGACAACCATCAATTCAACCTTGTACAGCCTATTAGCTACATTTAGACCTACTTCTTGCAACGAATGATGCCAAATTTGATACTAAGCAAGAAAATACCACTAACTTTATATCTGCCAAAATATTGTAAGCATTCTGGATTCGCGGCAAGATAAGCTGAACCGCTCGCAGCACTTTGACCTCAGCAGATCCCTTGTACTTACTTCCCTCTATACTTCCCCTTATTCTTATGTTCAGTAAGTGCTTCTGTAGATGCCAGTGTCCAGTGATTAGACCTATGACGAAACGTAGGTCTTCCTGGACAGCCTCATAAATAAATTTGTTCGTTTAGGGTCAGGGTACATCAGAGCCTCCTTGGCTTGGCGACATCCTGGTGTCCTGTCCCAGTAGTTTAGAAACTTCTTGCGTGTTTCCTCTTTTTGAAGCTCTATTAAAGACCTTATTGTTGGGGCAATGAATGGTTCTGGCGATCTCGGAGGTTCGCC